TATATATATATATATGTGTGTGTGTGTGTGTGTGTGTGTGTGTGTGTGTGTGTGTGTGTGTGTGAGTGAGTGTGCATTACTGTATGTATACTTCCTCACATAATCACATTAAAACTATATTTATACATGTAAGTTATGCACAGAAAAATCTTGCGAATTCATATTATTTTTGCACTGAGTAAATGTGGAGCAGTCTGTCTCTGCAGCCTCTTTAGATGGACTGTTTCAACATTTAGGACAACAGCTGAAAACAGCTGCTGCACCTCCAGCTTTTATTGTGTTGTGGTTTTGTAGCAGAAAACCATCCGTGAACKATTTCAGGGTTTGTGAGGCGACAGGACACAGCAGGGAGTCTGTGAAGTGAAGCCGTCCTGAACCACAGMGTGTTCTGTGTGCAGGAGGACGGGACCTGACTAAGTTCTGCAACAGAACAGTTGACTTTGAGACAAATTACAACAACTGCAGCTTAGTAGTCCAGTGTAAAAAGAAACATTTTTATTCAGTTTTTTTACATTGTGCAAAGTGAAAAAAAAAATCAGCTTCTTGTTAAAACCTGGTGTTGTCCTATTGTGCTTGAACACTTTTAATGATTATCCAAAATATGCTATCTATATTTCAAAGTTCACTATTTATTTATCTATTTATGGGCAAGTTTTGGCAAATCAATTTCCACATTTATTTATTTATTTTGTTTTGTTTTTACGACCGCTGTTGATGAGCAGAATGCTGCAAGCCAAGTGAAGATAAATATATATTTTAAATATTTTTGGATTAACAAAACAAATTACAATTTTTTTCTTTATTTTACAACAAGACGTGCAGCTTATTTTGTTCAGATTTATTGATAAATGACAAGCAAAACACAAATAAACACATAAAAATGTCTAGTTTAACCAACTAATTTCACAACTAAATAATCTAACAGGTGTAGAAATATACGTCTCAAACTTAGTAGCTGTTTTCATATCCAGAAACACCACACAGTAGAGTCAAAACAAACTTACCAARGGATAACTGCAGATCCAAAGATCATTTCTGAGGTCAAATTTAAAAAAATGAGAGAGATTAGAATTACCATCACTTCTCTTAGTGTATCCTTGCAGCCAGTCTACTGCACATTGTTCCATGGGTTTATGTCAGAAGCGATTTGACTGAGAGTGCTGCCGTCTCTGCATGGCTCAGTTTTCTGGAGTGCGGGTCAGACTCCCCTCACCCCGCTTTGAGATTTTGAAACCTCATTAGCAGCCAACGCGTGAAAGGCTAAAGACCTCGTCCTGACCCGATGGAGAATGGCGCGTGTGTTAAGAGGTTTACCCCATGGGCAGGAGAGGGGGGAGGTTCAAGAGTTCAGTACAGAGGGTGGGGGGCATCAGTGGTACAYCTTCGAAATTGCTACCTCTTGCCCACCCGAAAGTTTCCCCCTTAACTTCTTACACCTGGACTAATCAGAGCTCAGCACATCAGAACAAACCCATAAAAGCGTTTAATCTGAGCTCTGAGGATAATAACGTAGACGCCGGTGGGGAAAAGAGGGTTTGAGCCAGATTAGTGTTTCATGACTGATGGTGGTGATTTGATTTGATTTGATTTATTGATTCAACAGGAAAAGATTACTAAAAATCAAGCCTGACTCAGCAT